TTCTCCATACCTTTTGGATGTATCCTTTTCTTGAGTACGAAGAACACTAACTAATTTTTTTTCTGAGTTTCTAGGATCCTGTGTCATGATTAATATCTTACCTCCTATCTTAGCTCATTGGCAAAACCCAATCCAATGGATCCTCCTTTTGCTACTGTTGCTTTTTTTTTTTTTAAGCAAGTCTCCCACCCTTTACCTCTCTGCCTCCTTGCTAGACATTTAACATGTCTGCCTCTTGTTTATAGAGTTAACTTGAAACATGCATTCTCTCTTAACGGACCCAAAAGTCCAGCACATAGAACCGATTGTCAAAGGATCTCTGTGAACTAAACACCTCACTTATTCATAATTTTTAAGTCACAAGTGTCCAAATTCCAAATACAGTTTATCTTGGAAAAAGACTTTTTTTCCTTGTACATCCTTCTAAACTGCTCTCCTCATATAAACCACAGCCATACCTCAAAACCACAGCAGCCAAAGCGCTCCCTAGCCTGACTTTACAGACAATAAAACTGCCAGGTGGTAGAAAAAAAAATTTTAAAAAGCCAAAAAAAAATTCCCATCATTAAATGGAATGTTGTTGAGAAATAGCTGTTTTATTTAACAGCTATTCATTTTTATTGAATAAACATTTTCTAGAATGCATTCTGTTAATTGACCTGACAGCATATGCTGTATATGGAGAAACTTCTAAACATTATGCTCTATGTAATATGCTTATCTGAAAAGGCTCTCATTGCAGCAATATGGAAATAAAATGCTGCTTTTCTAAATTACAAGACTTTTGAAAACTGCATTAATCCTCACAGTTTTGTGAAAATGCTCTGGACATTTTAAAATCTTTTCTTTAAGGGGCAGAGGGAGGCAGAACTTTAGTAAATAGTAATAGTATTTGTGGCTGAGTTTTATGATGGAGTAGTAGAGCTCTAAAAGAGAACTTCTATGGACTTAAAAATAGGGCAGGCATCATAGGAAATAAAAAGCAGTTGTCATATTGGGGCTACAAGAAAATGTTCAGCCTCTACCGATGTTACATGATTAGAGAGCGATTGTTATAATAGTCCTGTGGGCCAGATATGAACCCAGGTGAAACTTTACAGAAATAAGATATTTCATTTTGAAGAAAGAAGACAACTTGCAGTGTATTTATTGGTTGCTCATAGTGTCTTGGTGACTCCTTCCAACTAATGACAGCATATCTCCTTGGATAATGGCTTCTGAGCGATGATTGCATCTACCAGGCCAGAGTCATCAGCGCTACTACCTAGAATAGAGAACAGAGACGCTCTCTGGGGGGAGGGGAGGCCTGCAGTGACCCACAGGGCTGCTGGCTCCCTGTCTTGAGTAGTCATTCATCTCCCAACCACCTTGTGAGGCCAGCGGCCCAAGGTTATCAGATATTTTGAATTTTTGTCTTTATTTTACTTTAGTTTTTGGTTTCGGTTTTCAGAGAAGACAGAAGAATCCCAATTCCTCCCATTTTTCTAGGTTGTCAACTAGATAATTGGTTAAACACAAATTCTGGTTTGGACCCAACTTGACAAACCTAGACACCAAACTTGTGTAAGTGTGTAAGTCACTACACTACGGTGAGTCTTTGTGGACGAATTGGTGTGTTGGTTAACAGGAAGCACACGTTAGAAAGGTTTGCATTTATTTGTTTTTAACACCCAGGGTGCTGGCGTAACTGGGAAATCCTATAACATAGAGTTTAGCTCATAGCATAATTAACTCGTGTTTGAGACCAAGTCCTTTTTCAGTCAGATCTTTGTGTTCTGTGGACTTTCTAGCATATTTTACAGTTCTAATTCTCTTCCACTGTCCTACATTCATCAAAGCTGTAACCCCTGTTGTCTTTGTACTATGGAACCAGAATGTGCCCCTGGCGAGGAATGGGGGAAAAGTCAACAGGAATTAAATTTCAGTGCAACTGTTTACTCAACTGTGGCCTGCAGTTATTGAAATTTTATCCGTGGTTTTGTGTGACTACCGCAGTAATGAATTCAGCATGGCTGCGATTTTCCCACTGCTGGTATTCTCACTTCAAGTAAAAACCTGTAGCATAAAAATGACGAAAACAACCAAAGACCAGTCTGACACTGGTGTTTCTTCCAAGTGTCTTAATTGCTGCAGTTTTGGATCTGGAAAAAGCAGTTGAAGACGTCAGTTCCACCAACCATTTTCATTCCTGTATTTTTTCTTATTTCATTTACTGATGATTACTTTTTCCTAACAACCTGGGAAGAGCCTGGTTAGTTATAAGAAAAAGAGCTATTGATAATTTATTTGAACAGACCTAAGGAAGCTGACATCTACAGAAACCAGGAATTTAGCCACAAAGAATAGCCCCCACTGCTTTCTTCCTCCCCAAAACGTATCAATGGCAATTTTTTTAAAAAATTCTACAATTTTTTAAGCCTCTAAGTACAATCAAAACCAGTTTCTTTACCTTTTTATCAAGAACCCATAACAACAAATTTTCAAGAGTTCTCCCAGCCAAGGTTAAAAAAAAAAAAGATGTAGATAACTAATTTTGCTACTGATTTTTTTTTCTTTTGTAGATTTTGGGGATTAAATGCAGGGCTGGGAACTGTCCTGGAGCTGCTTCTGCTCAGGGCTAGTGTTCTAACATCTGAGCCATCTGGATTTTTGTGTGTAATTTATTGGAGATGAGAGTCTCACAAACTTTCTTGACCAGGCTTAGAAGCGCAATCCTCAGGTCTCAGCCTCCTGAGTAACTAGGATTACAGGTGTGAGCCACCAGCATCTGGCAGCCTCTGGAGTAGCTAGGATTATAGGTGTGAGCCACCAGTGCCTGGCAGCTACTGGTACTTTTTAAGGAGTGACCTTAATGTGCTTCCATAACTTTTCTGTGAGGTCAATTTGCTATTTATTTGTTTATTTTTTGGCCAGTCCTGGGGCTTGAACTCAGGATCTGGGGACTGTCTCTGAGCTATTTTGCTCAAGGCTAGTGGTCTACCACTTGAGTCACAGATAACACTTCTGGCTTTCTTGGTAGCTAATTGGAGATAAGTAACCCAGATATTTTCACCCACGCTGGCTTAACCATAATACTCAGATCTTAACTACCTGAATGGCTAAGATTATAAGTATGAGCATTGGTACTCAATTGTCAATTTGGTGTATGTGTGATATACTGTATACATAAAGCTTTCTGGCTAACCACTTTGATATCCTGAATGTCAGTCAGTTCTTTGAGTAAAATTCAAAAGATATTAAACTCCCATCTATTTAATTAATGTCTCTAAATATTAATTATTTGGGAGTTATTAAAGTCAATAAGAGCACTTCAACTGGTCCATATTTGATCTTGACCTCTGTCATGTATGGCATAGAAAGCGGTACTCTAAAAAAAAAATACCAACATTTATACAACCATAAATAGCTAAGAATATCATATAAATGTATGGTAGCACATATTGCCTTCTACTATTTATGGTTTGGATTCACTAAAAATCTTATGGATTAAAATTTGACCACTGATACTAGCTTACATGTAGAAAATGGATACACAACTATCATCATAAACTCTAGATCACAGACTGCCTGGGGTGCAGGCACAAAGGCAGCAATGAGAGACAAAATCACATCCACCATGCCCTCTGAAGTAAGCTCTGGCTGGTCTGCCAGTTTTTCCTCTTTCCTGTATCTTTCCCCAACCGAGTCTACAGAAGCTGTCAAATGCCCAAGGGAGGGCTGGGAATGTGCCTTAGTGGAAGAGTGCTTCTTAGCACGCATGAAACCCTGGGTTCCATTCTCAGTACCACATAAACAGAAAAAGGCAGAAGTGGCTCTGTGGCTCAAGTGGTAGAACACAAGCCTTGAGCAAAAGAAGCTCCTGGACAGTGCCCAGACCCTGAGTTCAAGACCCAGGAATGCAAAAAAAAAAAAAAAAAAAAAGCTCAAGGGAGTCCAAGAATGTCGTTTAGGAGGTTTGTCTTTCTCTCATTCCATCCTCCAACAATCTCTGCTTCTTTCAGAAAGGCCTAAAGAAGGTCATTTTTAGTTTTATTTTTCCATAACTACGAATTAAGAACAAAATTCAACAGCCATTCTCCATTATCACTAACTAAGAAAGTTAATACTTCTCATTTCAACAGAGGTTAGGAAGTGAAGCCAGGCTGCAAGGCCATGCTGTTTACAGCATGTCTTGTTTACACAATGTCTGGAGTCACTTTTGCCATTCGGAAAACATGTAGTGGATGTCTACATGTATACCTACATCTTACATAGCAGGAAAAGTGTCACGGGAGTCAGAGGCACGGGAGTCAGGAGTCAGGAGTCACAAGAGGCAGAAATAAGGGAAAAGCTAAAACACCCATAAGATTCACCTGTGTACCCCACATCCCTGAGTTCTGAAGTACAAGCATATAATTTCTCCAAGGGGATAGCTGTTATAAACATGCTACTTATTTAAACAACATAGCAATAATGATTGTATTTGTGCTTCCCCTGTCCTATTCACCAAATCTTTTTTTCTCTTGCAGCCCTTATGTCTCTTTTTGATCCCTCATCTCTGATTTTCCTTTACTTCATCAGGCTTTATACACATAAAGCGTGTGCGCGCGCGCGCGCGCGCGTGTGTGTGTGTGTGTGTGTGTGTGTGCATGCACGCATGCACTGAATACCAGTACTTTGTGAACTTCTTGGGTATTTAAGCTAAAGCATTAGGAACTACTTCTCCAAGGAGGAACTTTGTTCAAAGTTAGGTAACACACTGGGTCCCAAAGGAAGGTCTCCTTGGCCTCCAGTCTCCACAATTACACCTTAAAGGGAATTACCAATTCTTCTAGCTCCCTGCAGTCTGAAACTTAAGTCTCTGAAGCCAGCGCCACCCAAGAACCCTGTAGAACAGGTGGATAAGAAGATCTTGCTTACTTCAGACAGGTATGCACAAAACATGGACAATGGCTGAGTTCAAAAAAAAAAAATCACCTGATAAAATTCACACTGACTACCCATACCTCCCAGAGTTGTACCTGCTGCTGCTGCTGCTGCTGCTGCACGTGGGCGAGGTCGGCTGCCCCCAGATCTACAGCTGGAGCTTCCCCGTTGGCACGGCCCTCGCGGAGGGCACTGCACTCTAGCAAGTGATTGCTGCCGCTGGATCCATTCTGGATGGCTGACCCATTACTTTTAGTTTCAGTCCCAGATTCTTGCATCATGACTCAAAAACCTGATAGAAGGGTTTTCAGGAAGGGTGGAGGGAAGAAGAGGGAAGGGGGGGGAGGGGAGAGAGAAAGAGAGAGAGAGAGAGAGAGAGAGAAATGCAGCTGTTAAAACAGTTGTTCTACATAGGAAAAGGGGTCTCTGCTTTAAACGCTGCCAAACTCTCTACACAGTTGTCTTTTTCTTTCACTCCATTTCTTTCATGTTCTGGTACCTTTCCCTTAGTGCAGGAATATGGAACTGTCCAGCCTAATGCAGGTTTCAGTGTGGTAGTAAATATGTTATAATTTTCCCTGAGTAAAGAAGGAACACATTCAGGTAAAGCCTAGAATTTAGGATGACATTTCTCTGGTATCTATGTAGATAGGTGGCTCAAAAACCAGAAAGCCCTCCTCAGGAAACTGTCAGGTGTAACATTAACTTTTAATGTATCCAGGTGCTTCGTGGTGATGCCAGGTTCAGAGAAGAAATATTCTTCAACTTCTGTCCATCAGGTGATGACAGGCATTACGGAGGCCGGGAGGCTCCCGATGTACTAGAGCCTGGAAAATCTCATAGTCCAATACCATAGCATTTGAAGGATTCAAACTGAGGTACAGACACATCAGGCCACTTTTGGGACATGAGAAGGGGTAAAATCTTCATTTTTCTGACGCTATACCAATCAGACTTTGATCTTTATTTTACAAGTAAACCAGTCAGAGTCAGATTCTTCTCCTGGTAGATGAGTTAGCTCTAACGTGGTCTAAGGAGAAAAAGTTATGGGTTGGTATTGGTATTATTATATTTAATTCGAAAAAAATCTCGCATAGGAAAACCCAAGAGAAGGTCTGAATTTTAAAGTATGCAATGTTGGGATGGGGATGTGGATCAAGAGGGTGAATGCTTATTTATGCTAGTTTTGAACTTGCTACCTTATTACCTCAGCCTTCCCAGGACTGGGGTTACGGGAGAGTACTACCATACTTGGTATTGTTACTTATAATTACTTTCTGAATAAGTACCCAGGGAGCCACCTTAGCTCTTGGCTCAATGAAGATACCCAGGTATGAAAAAAGACAGATGTTTGCCAATAAGTGTTACCGAGTATGGATCACGCCAGATCACAGACCTGTCCCCAATCTGCAGATGAGAAACCTGAGCCCAGAGAATGAGGTGAAGTTGTCCACCACATGTCATAGCTGGCATAGTAGGAGTCAGGGCTTGAGCCAGTCCGCTCTGATGTCAAACTCTCAAACCAGTGTGTTTTCTTAAGGGTGACGTGCAGAGAGAGCAAAACAATGGAAAAGGCTGGGTCACAGACCAAGTTCACAGACTCAGACTCAGAACGGAAAAGCAAGAGCCACTAAAGGAAGCGGACAGTTCAAACATCAAAGTGGAGAAAGGTCTGAATAACCAAGACTTCAATTTGAAACACAAATGTTAGAGAAAAGGACAAGAAACTTACCAGATGACTTTGTTCCAATCACAGCAAGGCATATAGGAATGTGCTACACATTTTGTCCTATAGCTCCCCTACATGGACTATGGGCCAACCGAGAAACTTAAGACACTTCTAGCACCTTTAGAGGACCTTGTCCTTCTGTTACAAATTGGCTTAATACCAGGAACAGTGGTTGATACCTGTAGCATCGTGGGAGGCTAAAATAGGGAGGATTTGGGTTCAAGGCCAGCCAAAGCAAAGAATTTCATCTCAACCAATAAAAAACTTAGGTGTGGCAGCTGGGGTGCCAGTGGCATCCTAGCTACTCAAGAGGTTGAGATCTGAGGATTGTGGTTCAAAGCAACCTCAGGCCGGAAAGTCCATGAGAATCTTATCTCCAATAAGCTACCAGAAAACTGGAAGTTGTGCTGTGGCTCAAGTGGTAGAGTGCTCACCTTGAGCTAAGAGCTCAGGGACAAGTGCCCAGGCCCAGAGTTCAAGGCCCATGACCGACAAAAATAAATGAATAAATAAAAAATTAGATGTGGCAATACATACTCAACATCTCAGCTTGTTAGTGCAGATGGGAAGGTCACACTGTTCCGATCAGACCAGGTAGAAATGCAAGGCCCAGTCTCAAAAGTGAATAAAGTAAAAAGGGCAAAATGTGTGGCTCTCCTACCTAGCAAGGACAGATCTTGAGTTCAAATACCAGTACATGCAAGAGAAAACAAAAGGTCTGTTTGCTAAAGGCTTGCACAAAACTCCAACGGAAAGGGGAGAAAACAAAACAAAACAAAACACAAAACACAGCCTTTCCTGTCAGTGCATAATATGAGGCAACATAAATACAGACTTCTCCAAATGCAAAGACACATTTTTGTGTGTGTGTTTTTTATCCACTTCTGAAGTGGATTAAGAATGGCATTTTTGTTAACAGGTGGGAAACAAACTCAAAAACAACAGCTGATTCACTCTTGTCTCTACACATCAGACTTCCTAATAAATACAGCCTTTACATTCCTATATTTTCTGCCCACAGGGAAAGGAATCTATCAGGAAAGAGAGTGAGCGAGCAAGAGAGAGAGAGAGACAGACAGACAGACAGACAGACAGACAATACCCAAAGCTGGGAGCAGAGGCTTACACCTGCAATTCCAGCTATTTGGGAGGCTGAGATTGGAAGGATCATTATTCAAAGTCAATCTGGGGAAAACGTTTCTAAGACACTCATCTCAACCAATAGTTGGGGCAGTGATAAGTGGCTATCAGGTGCTAACTTTCTGGTAAATGTAAATAAGATCATGGTCCATACTGACCAGGGCAAAAAGTAAGATCTTACTGGAAAATAATATGCCAAGTCTGTATTCCTAGGTACTCAGGAGGCTCAGGTCTGAGGATCAAAGTTAAAAAAAGGCTTGGGCAGGAAAGTCCATGAGACTCTTATTTCTCATAAACTACCAAAAAAGTAAAAAGAAAGAAAGAAAAGCTAAAATGGCACTGTGGCTTAAGTGGTAGAATATCAGTCTTGAGTGAACAAACTAAGAGAGACAACCTTGGCCCTGAATTCAAGTCTCAGTACTGACAGAGAAAAAAAAGAAAAAGCAAGAAAGAGAGAGAGAAAACAAGAGAGAATGGAAGAAAAGGACAAAAGAGAAAGAAAGAAAGAAAGAAAGAAAGAAAGAAAGAAAGAAAGAAAGAAAGAAAGAAAGAAAGGAAGGAAGGAAGGAAGGAAGGGAGGGAGAGAGAGAGAAAGAGAAAGAAAGAAAGAAAATAAGCCAAAAGGGTAAAAGGGTGCTGGTCTGGCTCAAGTCATAAAATATCTCCCTAGCAAGCTCCAAGTTCTAAGTTCAAACACCAGTACCACCAAACAAAATAAAACAACATCTCAAACATTCCACTAAGATAGAAGACAGGCAACAGGAGATGTAGCCACTCATCTCTGAAAGAATCCTAGGCATGCCCCCCCACCCCCGCCATGTTTCAGGTCCTCTTCCACAAAACTCGTCCATTTGTATAATGTGTAGACCCTTAAAGGAGACAAGAGCTGTCTTAGAATTTAGTTACTTGCCTTGTCTTGGGGACACTAATCCAACAGATGCTTTCATTTTCACCTTTTGGAAAGCCCACCCATAGGAGTTACTGGGCCCTCCATGCCTACCCCTGGACTGGAAGCCAGCTGGCCCTGAATCTGTCTCAAATGAAACGGAACTGTTCCCTAATAGGATCCCAGGTTCTTACACCTGGCAGCAGAGAAGGCTCTCTTTCGTGTCCCTGGTTTGCCACTGTCCCGTGGGTATAACGGCTCCACCCCACAGCTGGATGAGAAGGCTCTGGCTTCTCCCATGCAGCTCTGAAGAGGACTGCCAAATCCCTGGTACACGCTGTGCAGGCATGGAGCCAAGAAGCTTGGCTTACGAATCTGTTTTGTGAGAGTGCAGACTTTGGGACCAAAATTGCATAAAGGATTATTTTGGTCTAAGGATGTCCTTAATTAGTCAAGTGGTAACCGTGTTAGGGAGGTTGAAAGATTTTTTTTTTTTTAAATTTCCCATGATCTCCTGCACCAATGAGGAGAACACAGCTTTGTGGAGAAAAGAAAAAAAAAGAAAAGAAAGCATGTTTAAAAAAAAATCAGGAGCGAGCATTTCTAAGAACACTTCTGTGTCTGGGTCTAGTAATACATCTATCAAATGTCCCCAGCCATTTCAAAAACTTGTATGTCTCTATGTAAAGTGCTCCGCTGAATTTCTCAACCTTCTTAAAGGAGCCTCCAGAAGGAGATCTGGCCAGCAAGTGCAACCAACCATGTTACAGACAAGAAACTAGTGCTCAACCCATGACCAGAAAGATGGAGTCATATAACCACTCTGTACTTAGACATGAATCGGGCCCCTTAATAAATAACCAAGGTTGTCTATTCACCACATCCTTAGCTACGTGGAGAGTAAATCAGCTAACAAAACTACGTGAATTCCAGACAAGCCAGCCATGGGGATAGCAGGTAGACAAAAGCATGAGAATACACTGGAACTCTTTAGGAGACAACCCTCTCTGCCTTCTTCTATTGAATTAGACATCAGAGATGATGGAGAGCAAGAAAATGTCCAATAGCAACTATCTGTCTTCTCCATGGAGCCCTGTGCCCTCTTTTCTTAGAAGTTGATCCCAGGAACTCAGTTTACATACTTGTGTTCCCCTCTGGGATTCCTATAACCAAAGAACCGCCTTGCTCCATGACAAATTGAGAGCCCTACACTGTTAAGAGCATTCGCCATGCTTGAAGGTCTCGCATTGGAGGACACAGCCATACCACGCAAACAAGACTTCCCACGTGGCTGCTCTCTATGAGTGAGGTCTGCTTCCATCACAGGATCCCCTCAGCACAGCCTTTAAAGGCCCTCCATGCAAATGCTTGGATGTCCAAAAGCATAAAGAAGCTGAGATGGCTTACAAATGGTTTACAAAGCTTCTGATGTCAAAGGATCAATTTTCGTGCTGGAGAGACTTAAAGAAAAGGAGAACTGAGCTTCACATGCTTATTTGTTGTTGCTGCCAACAGAGCTGCTCTCTGGAAGTATTCT